TTTGTTTATTGTCCATTTACCCTTATGTTTATCTACTTCACCATCTATTTGGTTTAGCATTAATTCATGTCATCATTAATCTGCTGATGATAAGATGAGATGATGATAGTAATAATAATAAGAATAAAGATAAAAAATGATAATATACTAATAATGATAATGATAATGATACCATCAATAATAATGATAATAATGTCATCTTTTGCACTCTCTTATAAGATTTCCTCACAAGGAGAAGAAAGGAAAGAAAGAACTCAAAATAAAAAGGGAACAGAAAGAGAAAGATGAGAAGAGAAGAGACAAAAATAGACTGATTGATAAAATAACTTTAAGATTAAAATAAATGTAAGATTATTGAAATCAGAGAGAGAGAGAGAGAGAGAGAGAACAGAAGAAGGAGAGGAACGAAAGAGTGGAAAGGGAGAGGAAAGACCAAAACGAACAGAGACAAAATCGAGAACAAAAGAAGGAAAAGAGAGAAGAGAATAGAGAAAATAAAGAATTAACAGAAGAAGGATAGGAAAGAGAAAGTTGAATAGAAGGGGGAGAGAAAAGAGAAAACAGAAAAGAGAGAGGACAAAAGATGGAGAAGAAAGAAGGAACAGAAGAGGAAAAGGAAAGAGACAACGAAAGAGGGGGAAGAAAAGGAGAACCGAAGAGGGAGAGGAAAGAGAGAATAGAAGAGGGAGATGAAAGAGAGAACGAAAGAAGGAGAAGGAAAGGAGAACAGACAAGGGAGATGAAAGAGAGAACGGAAGGGGGAGAAGAAAGAGAGAATAGAAAAGGGAGAGGAAAAAGAAAGTTGAAGGGGGGGGAGAAAGAGAGAGCAGAATAGAGAGAGGAATAAATAACAGAAGGAGGAGAGGAAAGAGAAAGTAAAATGGGAAGAGGAAAAAAGAGAAAAGGAAAGAGAGATTAGAAGAGAGAGACAGAAGAGAGAACAGAAGAGGGAGATGAAAGAAAAAACGGAACGAGGAAGAGGAATGCGAGAGATTAGAAGAGAGAGACACATAAACAATGCCCAAGTCTTCCCAGTAATGATAATAATAATAATAAATGCATAATATATACACAAACGTCTTTCCCAACGTGACGTAATAGGTCCCATCTCGCAACATACAAAGGAGAATATAGGAACTGCCAGTTTTGTCTTATCATCGGTCTTTTCTCGGAAGCAGACGCTGAGTGGGAGTATTAGGCGAGGCTGGGAACGGGAAATAAGGTGGTGCAATGGCGGTCCCGCAGGTGAGAGGTCGAGCCAGAGAGATTCACCCATATATATATCTATATATGTATATAGATAGATAGATTGATATATTACTGCACTGGCCTCCTCCTCCCTTCCCCCTGAAATTCACCCAATCAACTCAAATTAACTCATATCCACTCCCAAACAATAGCCATATAGTAAAGACACGAAAAGTCAGATCCAAGAACTTCCACCTGAAGCCGGGGTCAGTATAGATACACGTTTATGGCAAATAGCGGGTTTTGAGCGTTCTAGAAAAAAAAATGGTTCCAGACTAGATAGGAACATGAATCTTTGTGATCTGAACCTAGTCGGGCCAATGTTCAAGAGTAGCAAGGTTCATTGGAATCGGCCCATGAGAAGCCGTGATACAAGGGGGTCTCACCCGACCGATATTGGGACGTATATACATACATACATATTGAGGCACGACAAATTAAGCACAAAATATCGAGAAGACGGAAATAGAGAGATGATTGACCACTCGTTCGAAAGGTCCGTATTTTCTTGGAGTGACCTCTTCTCCCCTCTCCCTCTCCCCCTCTCCTCCTTTCTCACTGTCTCCCTCCCCAATGGCCACCCTCCTCCCCCCTCCCTCCTAAGAGATCTGAGAGGGAGAGGCTAGGGACGGGGTAGGGGAGGGGAGGGGTGCAAGGGTCTGAGGCGAGATAAGTAACATCGCCCTAGAAACTACTTATAATGTTCGGCAAACATGAGCGGTTAATGTAACATCCTCTTTTTTTCTAAGTCGGAATCTTGCCCCGTGCATTCTTTTTCATGCTTCCCGCTTCAACAGAGAAAAAACAGAATGTATGTGAGTGTGTGTGATATATATATATATATATATATATATATATATATATATATATATATATATATATATATATATATATATATATATATATATATATATATATATATATATATATATATGTATGTATGAATATATACACATATATATATGAATATATAATATATATATATATATTCATATATTATATATATATATTATATATATATATATATATATATATATATATATATATATATATATATATATATATATATATATATATATATATATATATATGTATATGTATATATATATATATATATATATATATATATATATATATATATATATATATATATATATATATATATATATATATATATATATATATATATATATATATATATATATATATATATATATAATATATATATATATATATATATATATATATATAT